TTCGTAGCAGGTCGCGCTGTTCTGGCTACGAGATTTATCACTTGTTTCGCGAAATATTCTGTTTTGTGTACCGCAAAATTGGTAATTTTGAAGAAAACTTATACAGGATTAACCAATAATAATTAGATATTAAAATATTTTATTTTTAAAACGAAAAAAAAACATATTTTCAGAAACCTAAACAAAATTCCGCCACACTAAAATTTTGACTAAGTTTGATGTTTCATAACTTTTTAATTTGTAATCCGATTTTTATGTAGTTTGTAGATAAATTTATTGGCATTATTTTTTTTATTATTTTAATGGCTTATATTCTTCGGTTAGGTGGCTTTATACCGGGGTAAATCAAAACTTTGTTTTTAGCAATAAATTGAAAACACCCTGTGAAAAAAATGGGACGGGCTTACTCATAAGATGATCTGGTGTTTCCCCATTTTCTCTACAGAGTCTACATTCGCAGATTCCGATAATACCTATAGCGAAAAACCTGGCGAAATTAATTTAAACTTTTTCCCTCTAGCGGCAAACAAACCGTAGTAAAAACAACAAATAAACGCTCTCTGTGTTAAAATGAGAAATTAAAACGAGAGAAACTAGTTATTTGTGGAATTTTTACTTTAATTGTTCTGCGCTTGGAAACGTAGGTAATGTTTTTGAACAAAACCCACTATAATTTTCCGGTTGAAACAGTAAAAATAATAACTGTAATTATAGAAAAGTAGAGAAGTTTATAATATGTAAAATTATTATGGAAAAATGTCATCTATCGTTATTTCCAAGCCAACTGGACGCTGTTTTGTTTTCATACATATCCCAGTACAAATATTAAACTAAAGTTTACATTTGCGGAACAAAAAATAATTGACTGTCCATTTATTAAAAAAAAATAACCAAAAAATACCTACATTCAACATTTTTACTGCAAAATTAAATGGAAAAATCAAATTTACTACGTGCATTCACAGAACTATTAAAAATATCCAAAATTGTTGACATAATTTCAATTTGCTCATAAAAAATGGAAAAATACGAATATTTTTTTTTTTCTATAATTCTTTACATATTTCGTAGGAATATAAGCACAAAACCGCATATTTTTAAAGGTAAAAAGTCGAAAATAGTAATTGCTTGATTACGATGTGACAAAGAGCACATATATACAAATAATAACTATCTAAAATCTCTAGTTATAGAGCACAGAAGGGCTGAAACGCTTTCATAGAACAGAATTCGAGCGTTTATGTAAATCAGAAGCAATTCTGCACAGATGTCGACACTAGTACGAACATAATTAGAGACAATTTATAATTTTATTACTAGCCGAGAAGTAATAGCCGCAGTCTGTTATCCTAGCGCGCCACCAGGGGATGATGTAATTTTTAAGACTTTTCCAAAGAGTTTCCCGGAAATTTTCCTAAATTTATTAGTAGATAAGACGGCTGGCCAGCTAAAAGTTTGTTCCAGATTGCTTTTAAGAATGTAATTATCGATAAAAAGTATAAGAAAATCAGTTAAAATTACTTATTAGCCTTAAAATACAAAGTTCTGAACACTCCAGAATCACACTCATACTTGTTTGGATTGATTTATTGTTTGTTTGTTAGGGTTGGGGATATAAATTCGTTATTAAATAACATTCTTATCATCAAAACAATATATTAAAACCGAATTATAACGAGAAAACTGTCCTGGACTGGGTCCTTTTGAACTGGATGGCATATGTCCATCGGCAGTTTACCATTAGCTGAAGAAGTATGATTCTTGGATTGGAGGGCATAAGTTCATTATAAAATATCATTATTATTATCAAAAGAATATATTAAAACCGAATTATAATGAGAAAACTTTCCAAGACTGTGTCCTTTTGAACTGGATGGCATATGTCCATCAGCAGTTTACCATTAGCTGAAGAAGTATGATTCTTGGATTGGAGGGCATAAGTTCATTATAAAATATCATTATTATTATCAAAAGAATATATTAAAACCGAATTATAATGAGAAAACTTTCCTAGACTGTGTCCTTTTGAACTGGATGGCATATGTCCATCAGCAGTTTACCATTAGCTGAAGAACTATGATTCTTGGATTGGAGGGTATAAATTCATTATTAAATAACATTATTATCACCAAAAGAATATATTAAAACCGAATTATAACGAGAAAACTATCCCGGACTGGGTCCTTTTGACCTGGATGGCATATGTCCATCAGCAGTTTACCATTAGCTGAAGAAGTATGATTATTAGATTGGAGGGTATAAATTCATTATTAAATAACATTATTATCACCAAAAGAATATATTAAAACCGAATTATAACGAGAAAACTGTCCCGGACTGGGTCCTTTTGACCTGGATGGCATATGTCCATCAGCAGTTTACCATTAGCTGAAGAAGTATGATTTATCAAAGAGAGATCAGAAATAAATGGATTTTTTCAAAAAAAAAAGTTTATATGTAAGAAAAACAGAAAATATCAAACCTCATTCCCATGCAATAAAAATCCAATTCTGCATAACCACTTGCTATAAAACAGACTCACTCTAAATTATGTATACAGGGTCGTATTTCGAGTAAATTCACCCCCTAACAACTCCTAACCCAAATTTAATATCTCAAAAGTGACTTGAATTATCATCCTGCCGCCATATTTCCTGACAGTAAATAAAAGTAGCGTGTGTGTATGTGTATTTACTGTCTGCGTGGCTTTGAATATTTGCGGTGTATACGGTTTGGTAAGTGTAAAATAGAGAGCACAGTGAAATAAGTATACCTAGATGATCTGATTTCAAATTTTGCATATTTTGCCAGTAGAGTATTTTACTTACTATACTTCAAAAATGTCCTATGGGTATTTCGTCACCTATCAATTATTGATGTTAAGGTTCTATTACGCTAGTATTGTAGAGCTTCAGCATTTGTCATAAAATGCGAGTAATTTGTTACAAAATCATGTAAATTATATATCACTGTAATCAGAAAACTTCAGTCTATTTTCAACAAAACATAAGGAATATTTTGTTGATGTTTGACCATCAAAATCTTAAAAATAAAAAAGTTGCCTAAAAATGTGCTACTATACGGATATAGTATGATCTTTTTTCTTTAATTTCCTTCTTCATTTGTGTAAAAATACCTAGCCAGTTTTACATAAAACGTTAAATGGCGAACGCAACAATTTTTCTACTTTTTCGGACCAGTGAAATGGACTCTTAAGGATTAATTTATATGTTAGAGCAGCTCTATCTTAACCTATTTCACTGTGGTTTATGTTATAGCCTGCGTACGGTTGAATATTTGTGTGTTTACCGTTCGTAGAATAGAAAGAGATATGAGAGAGCAGTGGTATATTCGGCGGTTACAAATGCCACTCGGGGGGCTCCATAAATTTCTGGGCCCATTTTTACTAAAAAGTAAAAGCCGTAATTCACGGAGAATAACTTTTGCGAGAGGCGGCAAAGTCTGCGTGTTGTTCCCGTTGTGTTTGTTACACTTTTTGTCAGCGGAATACAATGACTTTTAAATGGAAATTACGCGAACATTACGCTAGCCTCTGTCTCACTTTGAAACAGATTAGTAACAGTGAAAAAATCCAATTTTTTTCACTTTTGGACCAGAAACATTTATTTAAAAAACAATAATTATTTTAAGAAGTGATGTATAGATATGGACAAAAAAATGACGTGACACACGGCCTTGAATGACGGCCACAGCTACCCCTTTGTAAAACAATTTAACTCCGTTATCTCATGACAATCTACCCCAATGAATGGCAACACTGGGTAACAATCTAGGGCCATACGCGGCTAAGAAAATCACTATAATAAACATGAAACTGTACAAACCTTGATTTCATGCATATTCTCATCGATAGATTTGTAGCTTCTGAATAACGGTCTAGGTAAAGCATCTAGCTCATTTGCAAGCTCAAAATTAGAATTTAGAGTTAGTAACTCGCATTTTCATTGGAGAACACTGTCGTATTTATTTCAAACCAATAATCAACGAGAATATTCGTATAATTTAATAAAATTACTGTAAATCACTATAAATAATGGATTGTTTGTAATTGAACTGTAATTTCTGTATTATTACTCCGGCATATGATGGAGATAAACAATTGTGATTAAAATTTTACTTTAATATGAAATTTTTGTTAAAAAATTTTTATTACAACAAAAATTCTCGTCGTGTCTTTTACAACGACAGGTGGCGCTTGTACACCTAATATCGATATTTTTTCCCAATCCTACGAATAGTTTGCAAACTTCAATTGCTGTTTGAAAAAACAAAGCAAAAAAATCGCATAGAGAATGGTAAAATAGCGGCGATAATAGATTTTCAATTGTTGCTCTGTATGTAGCTCTAGCGCTAGATCGTGCTCGATAAGGCCAACTTTTCCATATCGAGGAGAAAGGCTCTGGCAGAGCGGAAAATGAAACAGATTGCCGTTGATTATCCGGAACCAATTAAACTGATTTTAATTGCTCGATGTTTTTGTAACGGAGCGCGCGGTTCGTTGGGGTAAATTGCGAAATAGTTGAGGCCGTGCTGCTTTTGGTAGATTTAACCAAAGGGAAAGCGTGTTCATAGATCTATTGTGTAACCCTTTCTTGAGTATACATATACAGGGTGTCTCAGAAATAAGGGTTGGTTGATCTGGTAAAAAAAACATATTTACGCTTTGCCATTTTTACTACCGAGATATTTCCCTTTGAAAATTGAATAAAAAATAATGGTAACATTTTAAGAGCCGCCGGCAGCAATCGATAATCAGCCGCAAATACCAAGCAATTACCAGAATCGCAGCTGGTTCGACGCCCAGTGTTGACACACCGACTAGAAAGATTTAAAAGCGACTTGAAAAATTCAGATTATAAGGAAAAATCTTACCTAACATTAGAAAAAAATAGAGTTAATTAGGTTAGGAATATTTTTCTAAAAAAAAGCATAGGTGTCTTTTTTCAAAATTATCCACACTAATACTAATATAAACTCACCTTCATAATCGATACTAAACAGCCCTATTCCATCACCTCCTCTGATAGAGTACTCCACCATAGAATCACCACCGGGAGGATCCAAATCCACAGCACTCACATTCATCACCACCGTACCGATCGCCCGATTCTCGCGCACACTTCCGACGAGTACCGAATCGGAAAATAACGGAGCGTAAACGTTCTCGTTCACGTCCACCACGTTCACAGTCACCGTGGCTTCGGACGAGAGTCTGGGATTGCCCCTGTCATGAGCGAACACCATGAGGCTGTGAACTTGCCGCTCCTCGAAGTCCAGCGGTTTGGTGGTGCGGATGGTACCAGACAGCTTGTCGATTTTGAAGGTACCGTCACTGTCGCTGTCCTCTAGAGAGTAGACGATTTCGCCGTCGGGGCCTAGGTCTGGATCCGAGGCTGTCACTGTGGCCACTACGGTGCCTGAAATTGAAGAAAAATAAGCTTTATAACGTGACTGTTGGTTTTTTAATTTTAGATGTCAGCAATAAGTGAATAAAATTGATTTAGTAATTTGTTAAAATACCGTAAGGCTTCAACAAAAATCACTTTAATGCTTGTAATAAAATAACAGTAATTTTTTGAGTGTTTTAATAAAGAATAATTTTATTATTTTCTTCTGTAGAGATCAGCAATATGTATTTTAAGTTATTTTAATTTTTAAAGTACTTGAAATCGTTAGAAAATCAAAATTCTTCTGTTTTTATAAGATTTTTTATAAAGTATTCTATAATTTTCAATGTTAGATGTCAACAACATCAGCAATCTGTAGATTATTCAATAATTTTCATTTTCATACGTTACTGTAACGTTTATAACTGTTTTGAGTAATATTTAAAGGCTGTTTGTTCATTTTTTAAATTTAGATGTCAGCAATAGGGGATTAAAATTATTTTAGTTCATTGAAAAATCCTAAGACTTCCACAAAAGTCACTGTAATGCTTGGATTAAAATAAAAATAAGTTTAATGTGTTTTAACTAAAAAAAATCACTTTTTTTCATTACTTTCTTCTGTAGATATCAGCAATGTTTATATTAGTTTTATTTAATTTTTAAAGTTCTTGAAATTGTTATATATTATTCAATAACTTTTTGTTTAGATGTCAGCAAACTATAGATTTTTTTATTTTCTAGGCAAGAAAGTGATTTATAATCGCAAAAACTGATTATGTTTTTAAATTTACTGATGATAATTTTATTATTTACTTCGGTAGATGTCAGCAATGTGGAAATTAAGCTTATTTAATTTTTAAAGTAGTTGAAATTGTAATAAACTTAAAATCCTTTTTATAAGATTTTTTATAAATTATTCCATAATTTTCCACTTTAGATGACAGTAATCTGTAGAATATTCAATAATTTTTATCTTTAGAAGTCAGCAATTTGTAGAAAGGTTTATTTTATTATTATAGTGCAACAAGTTATTGAAAAAAACAAGTTCTGATTGTTTTATTTCTTCGGTGATTCGGTTATTTTTATCCATAGAAGTCAGCAATGTCTGTCTAAAATATCTTTATATACTAAAATAAATTAAAAATTACTAAATTTACCGATAAATTTGTTGAATAAAGGACTGTATAAGTGTTAAAAAAAGACTTCTTTATCTGTAGATGTCAGCAACATAAAAAAATAATAAAACTACTTACCTTTAGGTACATCCTCCCTTATTTTAACATTGTAATTAGGCAAACTGAACTTGGGTGCGTTATCGTTGATATCATCCACGGAAATCCTTACTACAGCTTCGGAAAACAGAGGCGGGTTATCGGGCCCTTTACCTCCATTGTCAGTGGCGCGTATTCTAAGTTCGTAGAGATCCTGACGTTCTCTGTCAAGCGCATTAGCCACTATAATAAAAAATAATATTAGTAAAATAAAAAAAAAACGTTTCTAAAAATCTTTTACCTTTTAAAACACCAGTATTTTTATCCACCATAAAATCTTTGGTATCTGTCATTAAATAATACGTCACTTTTGCATTGTCTCCTTCGTCTAAGTCAGTAGCGTTGGCTCTGAAAATGTCAGTACCGTTCAATGCGTTTTCGGTCACTCTAAAACTGGCCAAAGTTTTTTCGAACTTCGGCGCATTGTCGTTGATGTCTAGCACTGTAATTGGCAGTACTCTCGATGAACTTTTTTGCGGTTTACCTAGGTCGTACACCGTGATGTTTAGGAAATACTCGTACTCTTTTTCGCGGTCTAAGTAGCCTATGACTTTGACTTCGCCCGTTTCTATGTCAATGCAAAACTGGGAATGAACATCACCTCCTGAAAGTTCAATTAATATAAGGTTAATAAAAAAAATATCAGACGATGGCTTAACTCTTACCTGATATGCCGTAAACAAGTTTTCCATTATAGCCTAGATCCCTATCTCTGGCTTTCAGTTTTACCAAAGTTGTACCAAGAGTAACGGATTCGTTCACTTTGATTTCGATGGGAAAATCCATAAATTCCGGTGCGTGGACGTTTTGACCGTACCTAATTGGCATCATCGGAAAATCCTCTGTCTCCAGTGGGCTGTTGTTGTTCTCTGCCTCAGCCAATACCTCAGTTAACCGTCTTGCCACCTATATTTAAACAGGAAATTTGTATTTGGGTTCAGGTTAATCCATTTCTTTCTACTTACCCCTGTATCTTTGCAATCGAACGCCCCGGTATCGTCGGTCAGCAATCTGCCGCTTCGAAAAAGGTTCTTTTTGCTGTTGATCAGTTTCAATCGCACGCGAGCGATGTCAGCAAAGTGAGTATTATCCGTGGCCGTCACGTTTAGTTCTCTGTCGTTCACTCTGACGTCGTTCAGGTCACAGGCCACTGTGATCGTGCCGGAGGTGCTGTCGATGGTGAAGCAGTTGTCTTCGTTGCCGGAAACGATGCGGTAGCTGATGATGTTGCCCGAATCGAAATCTATGGCGCTCAGCGTGATGATTTCCGAGCTGATGGGGGTGTGGCGCGGTAGGTTGCCTACGCAGTCGATTTTCTCGAATTGGGGTCGGTTGTCGTTGATATCCTTCAGCTGTAGAAATAAAATAAACGATAATTTAAGAGTTATAGATACCGAGTGCGTCTCAAAAGTGTCTCACCCCTATAACTTTTTTATTTTTCAGATAAAAAAAAAACGAGATTTGGTGTTAGTATATGACATAAATTAGGATTGATTGACGTATTCAGTTGTTTTTGGTCACTTCCTGTTTCACCGGAAATGACTACATAGCTACATAGTTAATATAGCAATGATAAAATTAGTAGCAAAAGGGAGACGTTAAAAAAATATTCATAATTTATTAAACTATGATTCTCATTTACTTTTAAAACATGTTTTCCTTTAATATAGCCAATTTGAGTTGTAGGAACTCTTTTATAATATGAAACAATAAAAATACAAGAGAGAAACGTGCATTTTACCGTGATCAATGCCATTCAAATTGCAACTAGGTCTTTTATTCTTTCTAGAAATGTATAACACACCTAGATTTCTTTAAACTTTTCCTCCGTTTGAAAATTTCAAAGCTGAGAATATTTCCGTGAAACAATTACTTGACGTTTTCGCGTAGGTTCTGTCAAATGGTTTAAATTGCACTCGAGTTTATTGCGACGCAATTTCATTTCGGATTTGTCTCTAGTGGATATAACGCCCGTTTTCGTTAAATTAAAACACCCAAAAAAGTAGCACGAAATATAAGAAAATTAAAAATAAAACAGAACATAATAAAATAAAAGTATCCCAAATCAAAGCTAAAATTTAAGAGTAAATCTGCCTAAGGTCCCCGATTAGACCGATCCTGTCGAGTTTAGCCATACCCAATATTCCAAACATACGTGCTTTGATTAAGGCTTGATTAAGATTTGTAGAGCTTCAGCATTTACCATAAAATAGCGAGCATTTTGTTACAAAACCATATAAATTATATATCACTGTAATCACAAAACTTCAATCTATTTCCGTATAGTAATGGAATTTTAAATTATGTCTTCGAGAAAATTTAGTCCAAACATAAGGAATATTTTATTGATGTTTGACCATCAAAATCTTAAAAATAAAGAAGTTGTCTAAAAATGTGCTACAATACGAATATAGTATAATCCTTTATCTTTAATTTTCTTCTTTATTTGTGTAAAAATACCTAGCCGGTTTTACATAAAACGTTAAATGCCGAACGTTTATTTTGCTACTTTTTCCGAGTAGTGAAATGGACTCAAAGGATTTTTTTAAACTTACCTTTACAGTGAGTTGCATCTCTGTCTGTCTCCTGTAAGGATTCCCCCAATCTGACGCTCTCACTCTCAAAACATACTCTCTTCTCATACTTTCATAGTCCAAAAGTTGTGTCGTTTTGATCAGTCCAGAGAAATGATCAACTTCAAATGGTACCTTGTTCAAATTCGCTATCAAATAGGAAATATAAGCATTCTCTCCTCTGTCTTTGTCTTTGGCATGCACTGTAGTCACCGAAGTACCGGCAGGCATATTTTCATCTATCCAAACTGTCATTTCAGCTTTGTCAAAAATCGGATCGTTATCATTAGTATCTTCCACGTAAATTTTAACCTGAAACCAACCAAAAAATTATTTTAAAGTGGGTCACACACGTTAAAAACGATTAAGTTAATTACCTTGGCAGATGACTGTTTTCTGGTTCCTACGTTCCCTTGGTCTATAGCAGACACTGTCAAACTATAAAACTGTTTATTTTCTGCATCTAGAGGTACTGCGGTATATAACATTCCTGTTTCAGGGTTGATAACAAATTCACCACCTTCATTTCCACCTACAATCTCTAGAAATACCTAAAAAATCGAACAGGATTCACTTTTACATTAAGCAGAATTTTTAAAAAATGACTACCTGAGCGTTTCGACCCTCATCAGCATCAGTAACCTTTAACCTGATCAAGGGGGTGTTAATAGGGGCAGTTTCTGGAACTTTGACGTCGTATATTTCCTTGATAAACACTGGAGCGTTGTCGTTTAAGTCTGCCAGCTGTACCGGAACGGATTTGTAGCTTTCCCGTGGAGGCACGCCTTTAGAAAGAGAAATAATAATACAGTCCGGTATCAAACTGTAGACAAAACATGAACGTTACCTTTATCCACTGCCCTTAACTGCAACTGGTACCCCTGAGGTGTTTTTTCTCTATCCAACAACTTCAAAACCTCGATATTGTACTCTCCTTTCTGTCTAGTTGGTCTGATTCTAAAATGTCCATCTGGGTCACCGTCTACTATCTCCAACCTGTCGATTTCACCGTGAATACCGCTATCTCTGTCTGATACGTTCACTATAGCGTAGATGTCAGCGCTGCTGTTTTCTACTATTAGAGGATGACGTCTAATCCGAATATCAGGAGGAAAAAAGTTGACTTTTTTAACACGAACGCGTACTTTGGCTTTGCTGAAACTGGAGCCCGATCTTTGGACACCCCTGTCTTGAGCTAGTACTGTTAGTTCGTGATAAGTACCTTCGTTCACCCTGTAGATGCAATAAATAAAAATAATATAAAAATAAAAAAGGCCGTAACTTACCTTAAAGGTCTTGTCAGTGTTACTACTCCTGTCATAGGGTGAATGGCGAACTTATCAGTGTCCTCGGCAAAAGAATAATAGATTTCACCGTTTCTACCCAAGTCGGCGTCTTCGGCAATCACACGGACTATGCTCTGGTGTACGGGGGTGTCTTCGAAAACGCTCGCGTTGTATTCCATAGGGTAAAATAAGGGGCTTAGGTCGTTGGTGTCCAGTATTGTGACTACCACCATGGTGTCAGACGTATACTGAACCTATTTTATTAAAATTAATAGTTTTTTTTAAACGCATTTCAAGCTTTCGCGCTTACCTTTTGTTTGCCATCTTTGATGCTGGCTGTTGCCCTTATTTGGAGGATGTACTTGTCCTTTCTTTCTCTGTTCAGCACGTCGTTGTTGCCAGTTTTAATTCGGATGAAGAGAAAACAAAAATCACCGACTAGGCGTTGTTCGGCTTTGAAGAATTTGTCGCCATCTATTATCTTATATCTGGAATAAAAATAAAACCATCCAGAAAAGCAAAAAAAATATAGTTATTACATGGTTTTTGAATAAAACTTAATCCTTACGAAATCCTTGTGAAAAACAATGCATATAGCAATAAAAAATAAAATCAATTTCATAAAATAAATACAATGGTATTTTTTTGGTTTCTGAAATGAAATGAGATATAAATTTTTAATGGTCAAAAAGCAAAAACAAAAAGAAAAATCATTGGCATGCTTATTAAATTATCAACGTTGTCTTGGGGTCGGTTTTGTATAGTACCTGATATCTGCAAAGGTATTCGGTACGATTTGTATCCCCATCCTGGGCGATCCCGGACTTTGCGAAGCATAAGTTTTGGCCACGCTGTTCTCCGGAATGCTGACGTTGTACAGTTGCTCCGTGAACCGGAAGTTGACGTCACTGGAAGCCTGGCCATTCTCTGACGTCTGACAGGTGGACGTCAGGTAAAGAAACAAGATGGCTGCGACGGGAACAGCGCATCGAAGCATTGTAGTTTCAGCTCATCACGAAAGAATCTGCAAAAAAGAATTATTTGAAATATTTCATATTATAATAGAACTGAAAATCTTTTTAATTTTAAATATTATTCGTTTTTTTTATTATACTGTATTTTATTTTAAACAAACTTCAGGTGAGTAATTTTTAAAATTGTTCGAATTTATTTTCCATTCGAACAAAACACTGCAACGAATCAATTGCAAAATAAAAGATAGATAGATAAACGTAAAACAATACAATTTATAGATAATAGTTTTTTTATTGATAAAGATTTATTTGTTTTGCAGTTGCACATATATAAAATTTCGTTTATATGTCCGATAGATGTATCACTTTGTACAATAAAGCTTTTTTAAATAAAATGTTTTGTGGAAATATTTATTTTAGTAAACTAGAGTATGTCCCCGGATTGTCTTTACAAGAGAAAAATTATTTTTTATTGTTGACATTTTGAGAAAAATGCATTCTTCATAAAGATTTTTGCTTATTCTAGGTATACTTTTCCAAATTTCCATACCGTTTAAACAAAATTAAAAAAAGTAACAATTTAGTTGAATTTTTCCAAAGTCCTATAAATCAAAACGCGTTTTTATGGTAATATAATTTCGTTTTTATTGTTTGATAGATTGCTATTCATAGAATTTCAATTAACGTAATATTTTTTGCTGTTTTTAAATGTTAATGAAGCACAAAATTTATTTAGTTCAGTTTCACTTTTAACACTTCAAAAAAAATTCAACTATGTTTTCATGTTTTTTTTTATTTTCTCTAAAACGGTATGGAAATTTGTATCAACCACTTTAGAACAAGTCAAAAATTTAAAGAAGATTGCATTTTTCTCATAATGTCAATAATAAAAACGTTTTTCCTCTTGTAAAGACAATCGGGGGACATACTGTATATTATATACCTTGAATTTGTTAAAAATAGTTTCAAAAATAAATGGAAACATGGTACAAATGATAAAACAGAGATAATAAATCAACAAGGGCCTAAAAAAACGAAGCCAGTATGCAAAACAAGCAACGGCATGTTACCATTACGAATCTAGTTCATATCACAGCCGCCAGATGGCAAATCATATTGAAAATGTTGCCCGAACGCGGTGAATGACAAATATCTACGGCATGGCCTCCTACAAATAACGGCACGTCACAGTTTTAGTATACAAGGCTGTAAAAAAAGTGCAAATTTTGAATTACTCTATAAAGTGGGGATTTACCCTCTATTTACTATCCAAAGAGAATTGTTCATAGAGAAATCCAATATAATAATTTTTGTTTATATTTATACCAGTCTGTTGATTCTTTTATCAAAAGTTAGAGGCGTTATCTGTTTTCTGGACCAGGCGTTGTATTTTACGGATTCTAACCTAAATTTGTCGTAAACCAAAGAAAAAAAAACTGTATGTTTAGGGATCGATACACTAAACTACCATGGTATATGGGCCATGGGAGTAAATTATGTAAAAAGAAAGATTGTCGTGCGTGTCGAAACATATTCCGTCCCTATCGATTCATCGAAACGCTCGTAGGGACGTTGGAAAACTATCGATATTTAAAATATCGATAGAAAATTTTCATAATTCCTCCGAGATAAAAAATACAGGGTGGCCGGACCACCCTGTATTTTGAAAATGAAAAATTATTACTCAACAAAACAGTTAAAACACATGTAGGTGGCGCCCCCTACAAATAGGAGTCATATTGACACCAACATCAAATTTCTCATGTCAAGAAACTTCCAGACACCAATTTTCATCCAAATATTGACGTTACTTCAGAATTTATTTGGAAAAAATCGAAATAAAAATGAAACTTCTACACCCTGTATCTCCGAAACTAAGCATTTTAGCACAGATAACACATATTGATTATGTATTATCTGTGATTTTTGGATATACATTTATACGAACTTTTTTACTTAATTTTATCTGCAGAATATTCTGCCAAAGTTTCCGGAATACAGTTCGGACCACCCTGTATATTTTGGGTTTTGGTAACGTCAAAACAAAAAAAATGTTTACCAAATACCTATCTGTTCATTAATTCTAATATAGTGATCACATATTATCGATTTGCACACCTTATATCGATATTTTTTTCGTTAAATGGACATTCTTACTGCAAAATTCACCGAGTCCAGCCCTGGATGGATTATTTACCGACGTTTTACATTGTGAATAAAAAAGCAGGCCCTCTGACGTAGGGTGATATAAATAATGTAAATAGGGCTGTTTGTAGAGATGGGACTTTTCAGTATTCTACTGTAAATAATATGGCGATTTCTTGCAGAAGAAGAAAATTGAAAAAAAGGAGATTTAAGCCAAAAGAAATATAAGAATTCTTTGTCTATAAAATTATGTACAGTAAAAAAATAATTTATTATTTATTAAATATTATAATGTAGTATCATCAATTTTTTACAATAAAATCGATAATAAAATATCTAGCAAAAAGCAAAACTCATCATAAAAGAAAAATCAAAGTACCTATTCAAAAAAATTCCATAAAATGTGCAAGTATTTTGACTTTATTTTGGAAAAAATATGCCAAAAAGTTTATAGTTGATATGATTATGCGATTGTTATAAGTTAAACACAACACCTTTAAAAAGACGTGAACTCGTTAGACTTAATTTATTAGTAAATCCAAACAGGAAAATGTAGCGGGAAGCTCCAGAATTCCCGGAATTCCCGGGACAGTTTTATTTTATCCAGGTTGTGCGTTGTTGCATCGGAGGGTTTAAGTTTATGTGACGCTCTGGGACAGGTTAATCCGTGCTGTTTATTTTTGCTCCCCCTCCTTCTCCGCTAAATAAGGTAATCCGGTCCCGGAGGCTGGAGGGTAATCCGATATATTTTATCACATCGGCATCGTTCGAGGAGACCGTTTAAGCTCTGATGTGAGCGATGGATGCATTCCGGATGCGGAAATTAGGAGTTAATGAACAAGTTTTTCCGTGTTTGTGGAGAAGTTAAATTGTCGCGGAATCTTTTTGGAATTTTCATCAACTTTCAGACATCAGAAAGGACCAATAATAAGACAATACTTTTTTAGGGTTCCGTATCTTAAAAGAAAAAAATCGGAACCTTTAGAGGATCCCTCTGTTATATGTCTGTCCGTCTGTCAAGACCCTGTATCTCGGGAACGCGTATCTGTAGTTTAGGATAGGAAAACAAATTCTCTATACAAGTTTTTAAGCACCATATCAATTATTTTTCTTGTTGGAGCACAGAGATTTTTCGAAAAATTGTTGTTTGGAAATTTTTAACGAATGGAAGCCTCGGGAAATTGCAATCATTATTAGCATATAGATACATATGGAAAACAACACTCAACATATTTGTTCGATAATATACATTTAACAAGCGTATTTGCTTTGTTTAACCTAAAAAATAGTGTGTTTTTAGTTTTATTTATAGGTCAGTCTCATATACCTATTGTGTCGTTTTAAAAACAGACACCAGTTTGGTTTCTAAAATCCATTTATTTTTAAAAAGCAAGAAAAACTTACTATTCATTGAACTGAAGTTAGTCGTTGTATTAACACCTTCGGTGCGGTAAAAATTCACTTTTCTCTAAAAATAAAATGGGTAAAGCTAAGAAAAAACGTTAAAGAGCATCAAAACCGTGTCGTTTGGCTCTCAATAGAGCATGAAAGAGCCCAGAGATTCGCCTGGATAGAGGGATAAATAGGTTGTTGCAGTAGCTGGCCCTGAATTATGCAAAACCTTGACTGAGAGTAGATGCACGAGAAACAAATTTACTCGCCAATCTCTCTATCCCTAGGGATATGAAATGTGTACGTGATTGAATGGGATAGGAATAGAATCTAGAAGAAAAATGCAAATTTAATATGGACATTTATAAAACATAAAAAAATAAAAACTATAACATTGTACTTAAGTTTTTATAAACGTATTACACACAATAATTGTTGTATTAGCTAAGTTATTAGTCTTCCAACAAAAAATATAGTTAGTAGAGTTATTTTGTTTATTAGTAATTTTCAACTAGTACAATCTGAATATTCTCTGATGACACATATTGTGAGAATTGCCACCACACTTGTTCGCTATCTCCATATAAAATCAAGCATACTTAACTATTTTGGAGACCTACACTACAAATAACTGATAGAAATAACTGATAGAAAAGAAAACAAATAACTGATAGAAAAAAAAAGTTTTAAAACTTTCAAGGATTTCGGAGTTTTTTGGAAAATCAATTTTATTTTTTCCTGTCGTTACTTTTTAGGAAATCAAAAAACTAATTGCACATGCTTATTGCCACTTTGTTAGGGCTATCTGATAGTATTTTTAGATTTTTAAATTAGCTGATAATTTGTGAGATACAGTGGCAAACTTATTTTTTTTAAATACGGACCTGCATTTTTTATTTCAGTTTTTGAAAGAACTTGGTCTCCTGAGTCCAATGATATGCCACAATTAATATTTTTATTTGTTTCGGACATTTGAACATAATTTATTTAAACTAATTTCAAGTACGGCTCTGTTTTTTTTTTAAGATTTAATCTGTTCATCGTTACTATATTGATAAGCTTTCAAACTTAACAATGACGTGGGGTAAAACATTGAATATGGAAAATCAAATGCAATAACTAAAGGGGCATTACTTGGCGTCATTTGCAAAAGTGAAATCAATACATTTCAACATTTACAATAAAGAATACAAAATGCATTCGGAACTATAACAAGAAGTTATGTTCAAAGAGCTATAAATAAAATTAAACAAAAAATAAACTTGTGCATTAGGAAGGGTGGTAACTTTGCCCCAATTTAACCATTTTCGTATCTATTACGGTTTCCGAGACACCAATACCTCGAATTTGTAGCACCCTGTATATATATAATATTTTTCAGCGGGTTTTTCGATAATATAAACAACTAAATTGGAGTCAAGTTGTTGAAAACAAGACGGACTGGTTCAGAGTCAAGACGGACCAGCAAACAAAGAGGCAGTGCAGTCAAAGACGAAAAGAGTTATTTTATAAC